AATCCTTGGTTGATGATTTACATACGAAGAACAGGTTATCTCTTTCACCACTTTCGTTATCTAAAAGTTGTGACTCCTTGTTGTCCCGCCTGGTGTTTTGCGCTTTTCATCTAATCTAATGGCGCGATTACTATAAGTTTTTTTTTCTCAGTTCCTTGTTGCAGTTGTTGTTGTTGCTGTCAGTCGCTCCGCTTTGTTGATCAGGTTTTTATGTTGTTGATGTCGTAAAGATCGTTAAATTTTTGCCGGTAGACTGATTAACTTACGGACTCATTACTGATTATATCAAATTCACCTCGGAACTTCTCAGGGTATGTAACTGATCATCGCATTTGATACGCTTCAAAAAAGCTTCATGTAGGACGTTCAGAAGTTAGGTTGAACTGATAAAAACGAAAATGGATCAGGACAGGTCGAACGGTTTTGTGCATCTTGCTTGCGTGAAGAAATGCATAATCACTATGTTTACTTCCCTTGTAGGTTTGACCAAAAATTTGACGCCTTCAACTAATCTCCTATTAGTAAGACGATCACGTTTTCCCGAGAGGGCATGCAAAGTCAAGTAACTGAGAAACGCCTCTCGGAAAGTCAACAACCGTGCAAGGACTGTTTGTGCTATGATGTCATTGCCTGTGAATATTCCGAAGCGACCGACTCTGACCCAGGCTCTTCCTGGGGAAGGCTGAGAGGACCTTGACAGAAAATCAACATACTGCACTGCCTGATGTCAGGCCTTCGGTCTAACTGGACAGCCAGTATGGTGTTTAATTTCTAAAGCGAGGAAAAAACGATGGCGGCTGTTCTAGATTTTACTACAAGACCTTCGGAACATAAAAAACCTTTTCCAACCGAGACGCTATCCGTAAGGCCAGGAAAGCTTTTTTTAATTTAAAAAGGCAGAACAATTGATCCCGATGGTCTGAACATCCGCGAAGAAACATATTAACAGCCGATTAGATCACTATTGATTCAACGTATACCAGCAGGATCATCGTTCCGGCTGCTTGCTTAAAGATTTTTTAGCTCAGACAGTACTTGAGATATGTGACGGCTTGACAGGAACGCAGCTAGTGGGGTGGGGGGGTCTTGGGGTGCCCGTGACCCCCCTTTGGTAAGTCTTTTTTAACTAAAACAACCTACAACAGGTGGCGAAAACGACATGACAATATGGTGATTACCTTAACTTTGACAGTGTGACCCCTCCTTTGAAAAAATCCTGGCTACGCCCCTGCTTGATAGAATTTGTGTTATTTTCTTGTCAGTGTATCTCTATAATCTTGAGGGTGCAGTAAAACTAGCGTTTCACAGGGGTCGTGTTTTGTAGTCATAAATTTACTTTAGCTATGTGTCATCGCAGTGTCCGAAATTTGCCCCAAATGAGATAAAAAGTGTCCGAAAATTAAACAAACAAAACGTCCATTTACTGCAAGTAATGTATCCCCCACCATCGCAGTGCTGTGGTTATGTGTGATTTGTTTGAAATTCCCTCGAAGAAATTTCGCTTTTCCGTTGCAAAGCTGTAAATAAAGTGTGGATGGGTTAAATTTATAGCCGCGAATTGATCAAAATCAGTTTTAACAACCAGCTGAGACGTAAAGCGTTCACCGTTAACTGATAGTCGAGATCTGCAAAATTTACTGAAAGCTAAGGATTAACCGATAGCAGAGAAATCGCCGAAAGTTTAATTGAGAAGGGACTGGTCATTATATGAAGGGGGTGGGGGGAGTGCATTGGGCTAGTAAAAAAGGAAGACGCCCACCCTTTTTTATGCAGTAAAAAAAAAGAGGTTGAGCGGGCGTAAAAATAAAAACAAGCTACGTTAGTTAAGAAATAGAAAACATGGACCGTGTTTCTATCGAGTTTTAGTATAAATCTATTAGCGTTCTATCACGAATGCCGTCCTCTGATTGGCTACGCTACTCACGTTCTATT